CCCCTTCCTGCCAGCGAGGGCCCAGGGCTCCAGATGGGGCGGTCCCCCAAGGCGACGACTTTGTCAACGTTGTCAACGTTTGCCCCCCCGCCTGCCAGCGTGTACCTAGGGCTGAAGGTGAGGCGCCCCCCCAAAGAGCCAACGTTGTCAACGTTGTCAAAGTTGTCAACGTTGGGCCTCCCTCCCTCCAACCCCCCCTGCCAACGAGACCCCCGAGCTCCAGGTGAAGCGGCCCCCAAGGCGTCAACGTTGTCAACGTTGTTAACGTTGTCAACGCTGGGGTTGCTCTCTCTCTCTCTCTCTCTCTCTCCCTCCCTCCCTCTGCCAGCCAGGATCCACGGCTCCCAGTGCGGCCGAGCGGTCTGACTCGAGAAAACCTGTCCCTCAACAGACGTTGCCGTAACGGCGAACGCAAGCAAGCCTCACTCCTGATGCGGGTGGACAAGCGACAGCTTGACACAAGCAAGCCTCAGCCCCACAACGTTGTCAACGTTGTCAACGTTAGAGGTTCCCCTGCGCTCATACGCCCAATGCTCAAGGCCCGGTAACCACCAAAAGCGTCACGTTGTAAACGTTGCCAACGTTGTCGACGTTGGCGACGTTCCGTTCTTCTCCTTTCTGCTCTTCTCCCTTTCAGGGACTGGGGCTTGGTTGCGTCAATGTGTTGTTCCACGCATCGGGACTGAGGCTTGCTTGCGTTCGCCGTTACGGCGTCGTCTGTTGAGGGACTGAGGCTTGCTTGCGTCAGACCGCTCGGTCTCACTGGGAGCACTGGATGTTCGCTGGCAGAGGGAGGGAGAGGGAGGAAGCCAAACATTGACAACGTTGACGCCTTGCAGGGCCATCTCACCTGGGACCCCAGGTACACGCTGGCAGAGGGAGGAAGCCTAACATTGACAACGTTGACGACTTGCAGGGCCATCTCACCTGGGATCCCAGGGACACGCTGGCAGGGGAGGCCCAACGTTGACAACGTTGACAACGCTGGCGCCTTGGGGAGTGCCCCATCTTGAGCCTTGTGTCCTGGCTGACGAGGGGAGGGGAGAGGGGAAGCCCAACGTCGACAACGTTGACAACGTTGACAACGTTGACGCCTTGGGGGGCCGTCTCACCTGGGGCCCTCGGTACACGCTGGCAGAGGGAGGGAGACCCAACGTTGACAACGTTGACGCCAGGGGGGCCGCTTCACCTGGAGATCCGGGATCTCGCTGGCAGGAAGGGGGGAGGGGAGCCAACGTTGACAACGTTGGCGCCTTGGGGGGGCGTCCCACCTGGAGCCCTGGGTTCTCGCTGGCAGGAGGGGGGAGGCCCAACGTTGACGTTGACAACGTTGACAACGTTGCCGCCTTGGGGGGCCGCCCCACCTGGAGCCCTGTGTTCTCGCTGGCACGGGGGGGGCGAAGGGCGGCCCAACGTTGACAACGTTGACAACGTTGACAACGTTGCCGCCTTGGGGGGCGGCCTCACCAGGAGCACTGGGTCCCCGCTGGCAAGGGAGGAGGAGCGAGGAGGAGGAGGAGGAGGAGGGAGGAGGAGGGGAGGAGGAGGAGGAGGAGGAGGAGAGGAGGAGGAGGAGGAGGAGGAGGAGGCTGAGGAGGTGGGAGGGCAATGTTGACAACGTTGACAACGTTGACGCCTTGGGGGGCCGACTCACCTGGAGCACTGGGGGGCTCGCTGGGCAGGGGAGAGAGGAGAGGGAGGAGGAGGAGGAGGGGAGGAGGAGGAAGGAGGAGGGAGGAGGAGAGGAGGAAAGGGAGGAGGAGGAGGAGGAGGGGAGGGCCACGTTGTCAACGTTGACAACGTTGACGCCCTGGGGGGCCGCCTCACCTGGGGTACTGGATCATGCAGAAGGAGGGGGAGGAGGAGGAGGGGGAGGAGGAGGAGGAGGAGGAGAAGGAGGAGGAGGAGAAGGAGGAGGAGGAGGAGGAGAAGGAGGGAGAGGAGGAGGAGCAGGAGGAGGAGGAGGAGGAGGTGGATGGGGACACGTTAGGGGAAGGCGACCACTCAAGAAAGATAACGTTTCCAGAATTCGTTTCAGGACCCCGACCTCTGGAAACGTCAGGGGCCCGTTCCGTGTCCAGGAGTCCCGTCAGGTTCCCTGAGTTCCTTCTCGCATCAACGAGAGCAACGACACCGAAATCGACCACGACAACGGCAACAACACCACCAACAACAACAACCACAACAACGACACCAGCACGACCAACAGCAACGACAACACCACCAACAACAACACAATCAACAACAACGACAACAACAACACGAACAAACACGCCATAATCAACAGCAACACCGTCAGCAACAACAACAACAACAGCAATGTCAATATCATCAGCACCGACAGCATCATGATGGTCACCATCATCATTTTCATCTGCACCTTCATCAGTATCATCATCAGCGCCATCATCATCATCATCATCATCATCATCATCATCATCATCATGACCATCATCATCACCACCACCGTCACAAACATCAGCATCAGCCTCAACATCATCATGACATTTCTGATCATCAGCAGCATCAGCATTCCAATACGCACCATATTGATCATCATACCCATCATCATCATCACAGTATCGTCAACTTGGGCACCATCATCACAATCACGATCATCGGCATCATCATTGGCATGGTCGTCATCAGCATTACCATCATAAGCAACACCATCGCCATCGCCAGTATCATGATCATCATCAGCATCAGCATCATCGTCATCGTCGTCGCCGTCGTCGTCAGCACCATCATCGTCGCCAGTACCGCCGCTACCATCATCATCAGCAGCAGCATCAGCATGACCATCAGCATCACCATCGACGTCATCATCAACATCATCACCACTATCACGACCATCATCACCATCCGCAACACCATCTTCATCATCATAATCATGAACACCAAGACCATCATCATCATCATTATCACCACCACCACCACCGTCAACACCAGCATCGTCATTATCATCGTCAGCCCCGTCACCCTCAGCATCAGCATCATTGTCGTCGTCAGCAGCAGCATCTATCATCCTCCTGCTGCTCCTCATCCTCTAGTGATTCCCCTCCTCCTCCGACTCCACCTTCTTGTGACCCTTCTAATCCACCTCTTGGGTCCTCTCCTCATTACGTTATCTTGCACACCACCAGCAGCACCATCATCAGAAACATGGTCAACAGTATCATCATCACGATCATCACCATCATCGCCACCACCATCATCATCGTCATCATCAATCTCAGCATCAGCATGGGTACCAGCAGCATCACCATCATCGCCATTAACATCATCATCATCATCATCATCATCATCATCATCATCAGCATCATCATCATCATCAACATCATCATCATCATCATCATCATCAACATCCTCATCACCACCAGCACCGTCACGTTCACCATCACTATCATCATCACCATCACTAGCATCATCGCCATCATCATCACCATCAGCATTATCATCGTCATTACCAGCATTACCATCATCTCCAATCCTCTCGATGCACCCTCTTCTCCTATTTAACAAGCTCCTCCACCTCCTTCTCCTCCTCCCCCCCCTCAACCTCCTCCAACTCCTCCTCCTCCTCCTCCTCCTCCTCCTCCCCCTCCTCCTCCTCCTCCTCCTCCTCCTCCTCCTCCTCCTCCTCCTGTCATCCTCTTCGTCCTCCGTCTCCGTCTTCTCTTCCAGACGTCGTCATCCTCCTCCTTGTTCCCACATCCTCCTCCCACTCCTCGGCATCCTCCTCCTCCTCTTCTTCCACATGTCCCTCATCATCATCCTACTCCTCATCCTCCTTTTCCTCCGCCTCCTCATCCATCTCCTCACCATCCGCATCATCACCATCACCATCACCATCATCCCCATTATCATAAACAACATCCGCACCGCCATGATCAACATCAACATCAGCAGCATACTCCGCATCATCATACGCAGTGCAGTCATCGTCTGTAGATTCGTCATGATTATCCTGATCGTCACCAATATCATCATCATCATCATCATCATCATCATCATCAGCAGCAGCATCATCATCAGTCTCATGATCAGCACCACCATCATCAACACGTCAATATGCACCATCATCTGCATCATCAGCAGGATCATCGCCTTCGGAAGCACTATCGTCATCATCATCACCATCATCATTAACATCATCACCAGCATCATCATGCGCATAATCATCAGTATCAGCAGCATCATCAGCACCATCAGCATCGTCATCACTATTATCATCATCATCACATCATCATCATCATCATCCTCACCATCATCATCCTCACCATCATCATCATCATCATCATCGTCATCATCATCATCATGATCATCATCATCATCATCATCATCATCATCATCATCATCATCATCAGTATCACCATTATCATCATCATCCGCATCAGCATCCGAATCCTCCTCTTACTCCTCATCCTCACCATCACCAATATCATCATCAGCATGATCATCATCGTCATCATCTTCAGTACCACTATTAGCACCATCACAGCGGCCCCCTCTCAGGAGGAAGAAGAGGAGGAGAAGCGAGGAGGAGGAGGAGGAGGAGGAGAAGCGAGGAGGAGGAGGAGGAGGACCAGACCAGACCAGACCAGAACTCGTGAGATCTGATGGTAAGAGTGGGGTCTTGCGATGGGAGAACTGATCGGATCTGGAGGCACGGCGCCGTAGGCCACGAACGCGCCAGCATTGCAGGGGGGATGCCTTCCGGCTCAGCTGGGACCCCCAGAAGGAAAGACCAAGGGACCCAGCGGGAGGCACCCCGAGGAGGAGGAGGAGGAGGAGGAGGAGGAGAAAGCGGAAAACGAGCAGCAGGAGCAGCAGGGGCAGGCTGAGAAGAAGGCGACGGGGGAAGGCGGGGGTGGTGGAGAGGAGGAGGAGCAGGCTGAGGCGCAGGGCAAAGGGCAGCAAGTGCAGGACCAGGGACCGGAGCAGGAGGGAGGGCAGGACAAGGCGGGCGAGGCGGCTGACTTCCCGCTCCCCGCCGCCAGAAGTTGATCACCCGAGGGCTGGCCAGCCAGGTGCAGGCGCGGCGGCCCTCGTTGTGCGGGAAGGCGTGCCCGCGCCTCGGGCGGGCGGGGGCTCTGCGCGCTCTGCCCCCGCCCGTCCCCCCGCCCCGGGGGAGGCGTCAGACGTGCACAGACGACTTCGCGAGTGGCCGACGCCCGCGTCGCGGGCCACTGATCTTAAGTCGGGCCTGTCCCCCCACAGGGGAGTTTTGGAGGAAAGATGAAAAATGGTCACACAAATATTCAAAAGATGCCCAACAATTACTAGCAATAATCGTCCCCTGACTATTTTTGACCAATTTTGGATACCCCTCCTGTAGAGGGGCAGGCCCGACTTAACACTGATCGCCCATGCGCACGGGGTTCCCGATGAGAGGAACGCACACGTCCTGTACTCTCCGAATGCCTCGCTGCCTTCCACCGAAAGCCCCCCGCCTCTTCCAAGCGCGGCTCCCCCATGCCCGCCTCCGGCTTCAACGCTCCGTGCTCCACGGACCCAGACTGCGCCCACGTGTTTCTCTCACGTTCGCTCCGCCCCTCATGCGCACAGGGCGCGCGCAATCCTGCAAGAGCTCACGCTCGTGCTTTTGCTCGCGGGCCCAGCCTGCTGCTCCCGCGACTCACCCCAAGTGCCGGGCATGGCCATGGAGCGCTCCTGATCCAAGGAGGCACTGCGGGAACGGTTCGCCGTGGCAGCACGCATACCCATGAGGGTCCAGAGTGTGCTCCCCGAGCGGATAAGGATCCTCGGAGCGCTCAATGAAAACGAATGCCGCGCCACAACAACATCCGATGTATCGATACAGCAATATTCAGTTAACAACCGTACATTGAACAAGATACTTCAGAAAGTCTAATCGTTGGAGCATGAAACAGCAATTACCCAAGCAACGGATCGTTAACATGTCTCCCGGATAACAACTACACTCTCCTTACTTTGCCTTGCCGTTCTTCGAGCTCTTCGGCGTCCTTATTCTCGAGCTCTCCCGTTTCTAACCTGCGATCGATTGCTCCTGCTGGACAGCTTGACGACACACCCTGTTAGCAGCTAAGGTGTGGAGGCGGATGGGCGCCTCAAACGTCTGTTTGCGAGAACGACCTTGTCATATGGTCGGTACGATTACGGAGTTGAACTTGCTGATGGGGGTGACGTTCGTGATGCCAGCGTGATCACGCGAACGCGCTCCAACTGCATCAGAGACCGACCCCACTCCTGCTGGAGTAGGAGCAGCCTTCGTAGAGTTCTGTGATGTCCCACAGGCCCCCCCTCACACTCTTGCTCCCTCGTCTTCTCCCTCTTCTCCTCCTCCTCCTTCCTCCTTCTCCTCCTCCTCTGATCCTTCCCCTCTTCCACCCCATCCTCCGCCTCCTCCCAGAGGCCAGGGTCCTGCGGGGTGGCTCCTCCTCCTGTTTCTGTTCTCGCTGCATGCTGCTCCTCCTGTTCCTCCTGCTTTTCCGCTGTTCCTGCTCCCCCTCCTTCGAATCCGGGTCTTCCCATCCCTCCTCCACCCTCTCCTCCCCCCGCCATCCTCCTCCCTCTCCTCTCCGGGCCCCCCTCCCCCCCGCTGTCGTCGTCTTCCTCCTTCGTTTTCTCCTCCACCTCTTCCTCCTACTCCTCCTGGTCCTCCTCCGCTTCCTCCGCCTCCTCCCCCTCGTCCTCCGCCTCCTCCTCCCCCTCCCCGGCGCCGTCCGGCCATGACATCGATCCAGTGTCGGGCCGCGCGGTGGACCCAGGACAGCTGGAACGGTGAGAATCCACTGTCCCTGCGCCACCTTCTGGACGGAGGAAAGCTGCAACGGTGAGAATCCGATGGGCATCCCGCACTTTCTGGACCCGGGACAACTGACAGGGTAAGAACCCGCTTCCTCTGCCACCACTTCTGGGCCTGGGACAACTTGAAACGGTGAGAATCCTTGCCTTGCCACGCTTTCGGCGGCCCACGCGACGGGTCGCCAGGACGCCATGTGGAGCGGGAAACGAAAGAGAGAGAGAGAGGGAGGAAGGGAGGGAGAGAGGGGAAGAAAGAGAGAGAGAGAGATACAGAAACAGTAAGAGAGAAAGAGAGAAACAGAGAGAGAGAGAGAAAGAGAGAGAGAGAGAGACATCTATAGAAGAGAAAGAGAGACAGGCGGAAAAGAAAGAGAGAGAGAGAGAGGGAGAGAAAGACATGGTATCGAGAGCGAGAGACGAGAGATCGGGCCTCGCTCCCACCCCCCCAGATCGGCCCGTCCTAACGAGGCGCGCAAAAGTGCACCCGAGCGCGCGCGCGCGTGCGAAACGCTGGCGCCTGCGCGCGCACTCGCGAGGACAACGCGTGCACGACGCAGCCCCCCCGGCCTGGACAGCACGATGCTGACGAGGCCGCCCGCGTCCACCACGAGGATCAGGACCAGCAGGACGACGACCAGCCAGCTGCGCACGTGTGGCAACCAGCAGGCGGGAGGCCATGAGTCCTCCAGGGGCAGGCCGCTTCGCCGCGCCTTGCTCTCTCGCACGGCTCCCCCCATCTTGGTTCCGTGAAAATCTGGCCCTCACCAAAGAAGCAAGACTGCCCATGCTGAACAGAACTTGACAACTCTCTGTCTGTGGCTAGACGGCTAAGTATGAGCCACGTCTACATCCTCAGTGGGGGGGAAAGGGCCACGTCACTCCTTGACAAGAAACCTTGCCCCGACGTTTGGCTGCCGGGATCGCCGCAGCGACCTTCCAAACCGACCCAGAGGTCTGGCTCGGGGTCGGACATCACGCAACTCGCGCAAGGGCCCGGGAACGTTTGTAAAGTCAACAGGCGCAATAATTTGAAAGCAGCACACGCGCCGCCCGGGCTACGGGCGGGACACGCCATCAACACATGGAGGCACAGGCAGGGAACGAGAGAAGAAGAAGAAGAAGACATCGAAAGGGCAGGAACCACTCAGAACATGCAGTCCGTTGCGGGTGTGCCGGGGATGCGAGGCGCCAAGGCCCGGCTGCGACACAGGCAGCGGTGGCCGGAGCCGAGACAGGTAAAGGGGTAGAGTCATGGGAACATGGGGGATGATATGCAAAAGGGGGCGCAGAGGCAAGCAAATCACACAAGGAATCGGGCAAGCGGCAGGACACACCGTCAGGGGCAGCCGCCTTGCCACGTCGGGGCACCGCTGCAATCCCCCCCCCCCACCCACCAAAGTGCCCTTTGAGTCCGCGCAGCTGCCCTCCCTGAGCTTGCACCCCCCATCGGGGAACAAATAATGGCATAATCAAATGTTAACTGTATGTTTTATTCCGCAGACAGTGCTTGCACTGAAGGGTTCTTACCTGTCTTAACCATCTGGGGACCAGTGCCCGCTTTTCGTCGCCGTGCCGCCCGTCGCTGTCCGTCGCCGCCCGGCGCCGCCCGTCGCCGCAGTCGCCGTCGCCGTCGCCGCCGCTCGGGGCGAGTGGCGGCTCTTGCGGGCGGTGCCGCCCGTCGCCACCGTCGCCGTCGCCGCCGCTCAGGGCGAGTGGCGGCTTTTGCAGGCGGTGCCGCCCGTCGCCGCCGTTGCTGTCGCACAGATTGCGCCACGTAGATTCTCCTGTCTATAAAAAGAAAAGATTATACCCCCACCCCCCAGGATGAGCGCTCCCCCTCTCCGTATTACAATTTACATACGATTGTGCCCTATTGTCCATCCTGAATCTGAAGCCATACCATCCCAGGGGAATCGGTATCGACCCCCCCCGCCATCCTCAGAAAAACACACTATGCGCGCACTCGTTTATCAACAACCATCATTTTTCAAAATTCCTTTTGCAAAAGAAGAGACGAAGTGCACACGCGCGCATCGTCGCGGGCGCCTGCCGAAATCCTTCAAAAATCGTCGGTTACGTACGGATTTCAAAACAGAATGTCCAAACACACATATAAAGCCTCCTGAAGGACCCAACCATATGCAATTGTGATTACAGCAATTGTGAATATCTTATTCGGTGGCGCTCCCTATGGGGCCACAAACCCTGTGAGCGGGGTGCCGGATGGGTGTGTGGGACGCATGCGGGCGGTGGCACTTGGGCCTTCACTGGAGAACCCTATGGGGCCACGAAACGTGTAAGGGGGGTGCCGAAATGGGTGTGGGGGACGCATGTGGACGGTGGCACTTGGGCCTTCGGTGGAGCTCCCTATGGGGCCACGAAACGTGTGAGCGGGGTGCCAAAATAGGTGCGGGGGACGCATGTGGACTGTGGCACTGGAGCTCCCGATGGGGCCACGAAACGTGTAAGGCGGGTGCCGAAATAGATGTGGGGGACGCATGCGGACGGTGGCACTTGGGCCTTCGGTGGAGCTCCCTATGGGGCCACGAAGCGTGTGAGGGGGGTGCCGACATGGGTGTGGGGGACGCATGTGGATTGTGGCACCGGGGCCGCGGGAGGAGGAGGAGGAGGAGGAGGAGGAGGAGGAAGAATAAGAAGAAGAAGAGGAGGAGGAGGGGGGTGGGGGAGACGACGGCCACGTCGCCGCGCGCCTTACGGCGGGGGGGGGCGGAGGAAGAGGGCGGGGGTACAACCCATTCACGAACGGCAGCGGCAAGAATTCTGGCCTTGAACCCCCCGCACATACAACAGAAACGCCCCACCGAGCCCCGCGGAGAGCACCACCGCGAGGAAGCGCACTCATCGCCTTCCTGCTGCATTCTTCATCCTTCCTCCTCCTTCGCCTCCTTTTCCTCCTCCTCCTCCTCCTCCTCCTCCTCCTCCTTCGCCTCCTCCTCCTCATCCTTCATTCCCACCCTCCTTTTCCTCCTCCTCCTCCTCCTTCGCCTCCTCCTCCTCCTTAATTCCCATCCTCCTCTTCCTGCTCGTCCTGCTCATCCGCCAACTCCTCCTCCAGTGTACGAAGACCCCCCGGGCCCTCCGTTCGTGCACCGCAGTGGGGCTACTCCAGGGGACTCAGGTCCTCCAGCACACCCACCAAGCCTTGCCCCGCCGTGGCGCTGGCGGCGGGCGGCACTGGGCCGCCCAGTGGCAGCGAGGCTCACGCGGGGCGCGCGAAGCCCTGCGGCGCTGGTGCCACCTGGCGTTGAGCAGGGACCGACCGTCCCGGCACTCCCATAGGCCTACCACGAAAGGTTCTTAGATGCCCAAAAATGTTCTAAGACCGAAAACCATGACCTTAGAACATTCGAACGATGTGCTCAATCAAGACCAGTTTGTGCAGACCACAGAAAAATCTTAGAACATAGTTTGTGGGCCCACTGCTCCCGCCACGCCGGTGCTCTCGGTGAGCTAGGTGGCCACTCTGTCCCCTGCGAGCTTTCGGGGCGGTTCAGAGGCTGCCCAGAGTTTCGCCCCGTCGACCTGGACCTCGGTGCGGTTCGAGGCGCTCCTCTGTAGGTGCCCGCGGGGGGGGGGAGGGACCCCCCTGGGGTGGGAGGGAGGGAAGCAAAAGCCGCCTGCCCCCCCTCTCTCCCCTCTCCTTTCTTCTCTTTTCTTCTCTTCTTCTTCTTCTTTTCTTCTTCTTCTTCTTCTTCTCTTCTTCTTCTTCTTCTTCTTCTGTTTTTCTTCTTCTACTCCTCCTTCTATCCTCCTTCTCCTCCTTCTCCTTCTTCCTCCTCCTCCCCTCATCCTCCTCCTTCCTCCTCCTCCTCCTTCTCCTCCTCCTCCTCCTCTCCTCCTCCTCCTCCTCCTCCCTCTCCTCCTCTCCTCCTCCTCTCCTCATCCTCCTCACTCCTCCTCCTCCTCGCCTCCTCCTCCTCCTCCCTCCCTCCTCCTCCTCCCACTCCTCCTCCTCTCCTCCCCTCCTCCTCCTCCTCCTCCTCCTCCTCTCCTCCTCCTCTCCTCCTCCTCCTCCTCCCTCTCCTCCTCCTCCTCCTCCTCCTCCTCTCCCTCCTCCTCCTCCTCCTCCTCCTCCTCCCCGTCCTCCTCCTCTCCTCCTCCTCCCTCCTCTCTCCCTCCTCTCCCGCCTCCTCCTCCTCCTCTCCTCCTCCTCCTCCTCCTCTCCTCCTCCTCTCCTCCTCCTCCTCCTCCTCCTCCTCCTCCTCCTCCTCTCTCCTCCCTCCTCCCTCCTCCTCCTCCTCCTCATCCTCTCCTCCCCTCCTCCTCCTCCTCCTCCTCCTCCTCCCTCCTCCTCCTCCTCCTCCTCCTCCTCCTCCTCCTCCCCCCCCCACGCCGCCCCCTCGCCCTGCCTCTCGTCAGGGGCAGGGGCAGGGGTGGGGGGAACAAGAGCCGCCTGCCCCCCCCCCCCCGCCGAGGGCCAGGGCGCCTCGCCGCTGCTCCGCCGTTGCGCAGGGACCGACCGTTCCGGCATTCCTTACTCCCACCACGAAATGCTCTTAGAACCCAAAAATGTTCGAATAACGGAAACATTGTTCTTAGAACAAAAACCCGATGTGTTAAAACAAAACAACATCAACCAGAAACGTTCTAAGAACATTTCGTGGAAACCGCAGAAGGTTCTTAGAACATTGTTTGGTAGGGCTATAGGCGAGCCGAGGCGCGTCGCCTCTGCTTGACACCGAGAGCACCGGCCCTCCCGACCAACGGTCAGGCCGGCGGCGGGCGCAGGCAGCTGGCAGGCGCCCCAAGGCGCGAGGCCGGCGGGCCACCGCCCTCGCCGCAGCAGCGGCAGCAGCGGCAGCAGCTGCAGCAGCAGCAGCAGCAGCAGCAGCAGCAGCAGCAGGCGTGCGCCGCTGCTGGCGGCGGCAGCGCACGGGAGAGCCCCGCTCGCCGCACTCTGCGGCCCGCGCCGCGGGCGGAGGCGGCCCAAGAGATCCTGGCGCTGCAGTTCTTTCACAGCGGGAGTTTTCGCTCCGTTTCCGGCCCCGAGACCCTCGCAGATGGACGCGGCTCGAAAAATGACGTCCGGGGCTGCGGTCGAGAATTCTTGCCATGCTGCAATCTGTCTGCAATGTCGGATCTCAAGAGCGTGCGGACCCAGCTTGGAAACGCCCAGCGAGGGGTCCAAGGTCACGTGGCCGATGGGCGGCATGCCGTGGGAAAGGGGAGAGCCGCCTGCCCCGTGCTGACGGCGACGCGTGGGGCAGGGCCTGGCCCTCCGGGGGAGGCTCCGTCTGACCCTGTGCCCTCGCTGAGCGTCCGCAGCACGAGGGCGCTGAAAGAGCACCTCCGACACAGTGGAGGCCAGTCCACAAGAAACCTTCCGCAAAATACCCAACCCTGAGACCCCAGGGCGTCCATCGATGTTCGGCGTGGGAGCGCTGGGCTTTCCATCGCGAAACCATCGAAACCCAAGCAACCCAGGGCACCCTGGAGGCAAGCAGGGTGTTTCTTGGCATGGGCCTCAACTGTACCTCTGAAACCTGAGGGCACTGCTGCTGCGGCGCAGGAAACGCCCCAAAGGCGCCTGCATGGCCGTTGTGGTTCGTTCAGCTCCCCTGGGAGCTCTTCGTTGTCTCAAGCGCACTCTGCTGCGGAAGCTCTGCTGTGAGGTCTGCCTGCGTCCTCCGACTGCTGCGGCAACGCTGGCGCGCCTTTCACGTCCCGTCGAAACCAACGGGCGCTCGCTGCGCGCGACTACAACTATCGGCCCGACTGTACCACCACCGCCAGAGGTAGCCGGAGGAGGAGGGGATGTAGCAGGTTGATGCTGATGTGGAGGAAGAGCCTGTGGATGACGAAAGAGAAGGAAGGTCGTCTGATGGATTCGGATATTTCCTCTCGCGGACCAGTTTTTTCATTACGCTGGGTTTGGTGAACTTGAGATTCGTGGCTGCAGCGTTCGTGTGAAGAAAGAGTACATGCCACCGTTGGTCATAAGGAAAGCAGCGTACGACTTGCGGGCGAAACAGAAAGCAGAAAAGGCGCGAGAGGCAAATGATAAAAAACGGGCCCACAAAGGCACAGAGTATACGCTAGCAGGGCTGTGGAGGAGTCAGAAAGGAGAGCCCGAATCACGAGCATGAAACATGCATGCGAGGAGGAAGCCGACCAAGAGGGATCCAGCTACGCGTGCACAGGAAACTACGGCGATAACGTCAGCTGGCATGCCAAACGCTCCGCGGGTCGCCCTCGCGCTCCTCCTCCTCCTCCTCCTCCTCCTCCTCCCTCCTCCTCCTCCCTCCCTCCTCCCTGGGTCCTGCGGGTTGCGCCCGAGGGCCGCCTCGAGCTGATCCTCCACGGGACCCCTCACGCTCAGCGCCAGCAGGGAGCCCACGGAGCTGACGAGGAAGCCGACGGTGCCCTTCGGTGGGGGCCCAACTTCCGTACGTGGCACAACCCCCACAAACAAGCTGGTCCGACACAAGTCCGCGGAGCGGGGATTCTGTGCAAAAATGAGACCCCCTGGGGACGCAATGTTTGTTCACCACCGCCGCAGACAAGCTGCTCCGGCACAAGGTACGCGGGTAGGGGCGGTGGCCATCGCACATCGGCCCCAGACGCGGCCACCGCGGGCTGGTCACAACGAATGAGTGACGCGCTTCTGCCGCGCAACGGCTGGTCAAAGTGGAGACCTGACGTGTTGGACCCTGGAAAGCAATAAGGCTGAGTGCTGCCATGACGCATCGAACATGTGCGTGGGGCCATCGCCGAATAGTTAGAACTCTCGCGCGCGCCTTGCGCTCAAACTCTGCATGTCCTGGCGCCTAGTGCATCGCACATAAGAGGGACCGCTACCAGAAAAGCCGGAAACGCGGGCTTAAGGGACAACGGTTTCGTTAACGAGTGCGCGATACGGGCTAGTGCTCGGGTTAGGGCAAGGGGGCACAACGAAGTGTATGTTTGCATGAGCACGGGACAAGGACAAAGAAGGATGAGGATAAGGAGAAGGAGGAGGAGGATGAGGAGGAGGGACAGTGCCCTGAAGGAGGAGGAGGAGGGGAGGGAGGACGAGGAGGGGGGACGATACTGCCTGTGCTTTATTCCCCGCGATAACGGCCGACACTGACTGGCCCGGCCCCCCTTTGTTAACGTCACGCGTTGCGATGTCGCCGTCTGCGAATGCCAAGGAATAGCCGTGGACAGCTAGAAATAGCATGTGGGTGGGAACCTGCCAAGCATAGCTAGGCACGGCGCCAGGGCTTGCTGAAAGTAGCCTCGAGCAGCGGACGTAGCGCTTATGCGCGCCACAGTATGCCGACGGAGGGACCTCCAGGGTACAACTCAATGCCTGTGCACACCACAGTTTTGAGTGCATCACAGCGCCTGTGAACACCACAGTGCTTGCGCGCACAAGCGGCATGTGTCAGCAACAACGGCCGTGTACATCACAGTTCCCCTGTACACCATTACAATTGTGTGCGCCACAGTGCTGGTATACACCACGCTACGCGTGTACACCACAGGGCCTGTGTGCACTATGGTGCGTGTTTGCACCACGCTTCCTCTGTACATCAAAATACCTGCGTACACCACAGTGCCTAATTATGTAACTGTGCGCCTAGGCAGCATTTCGTACGCTAAGAAAGCTGTTGTACACCAGAACTGCTGCAACAACAACCTCTGCGTGCACCACAACGCTTGTGTACACCACACTGCCTGCGTACCCCACAATAGCCGTGTGCACCACAACGCCTGTGTGCATCACATTGCCTGTGCACACCAATTCGCCTCCGTGCACCGCATCCGCTGCGTCAGCACCAGGTGCGTGTGCACCTCAACGCCTGCACACCACCGTGCCTGTGTACACCAAAAGCCTGCGTACATCGTCAAGGTCCCGACGGGGTCCAGATCAGGAGACTCGCAAGGAACCTGAACGTATTAAACTCATCATGATAGATTGCCCTTTACTTGTGGATCTTGATTTTGCTGGCCCTAATAAGTACGGTCCCCCCGGATTCTGGGCCCACATGCCTATGTGATCCTCAGCTAATGTGTACGTGGGTACATAACAGTGCTGGTGCGCATCACAGGTGCTGGAACAGCATATTTGCACAGCAGCGCCTGTACACACGACAGAGCCTGTATCAATGGGCGGGAGACCCCCATATGGCCCGAAGACAATTCATTCCCCGAAGGCATCACGATCGCCCCAAGATGGCGGATTTTGACGTCATCGCCATTTCGAACTTCCTATTGCCGCAGACAACTCAAGAAACATCAACATCGGCGAGAGATAGCCCAGGAGGCTTCCAAGACGGCTCGAACACGGAACAAAAAGGTAGCAAGACTGAACAAAAGGGCCCTCAAGAGGCCTCCGGAGGCTCCCAAGATGCCCGAATCCGAATTCACATGCCCGGCCCTTCCCCCAACGATGGCCTCCGAGACTGCCAGAAGGCCCCCAAGAGGCCCTCAGAGGCCCGTGCGACCTCACCAAGAAGCCCCAAGAGGCCCCCAAGGTGCCCCAAAAGGCTCCACGAGGCTCCGAAAAATGCCCCCGAGCACGCTGGCAAGGACCACCGATGTTACAATGTGGGCCTGCGGAGCGAGCGACGCGATCCGCGGCCCCACCAGGTACGGCGTGTGAGATCCCCGCCGCATGGTCTGCAAGAACTCACTCGGCCCAATCCTCTGACCCGCGCACCCCTTCTACAGTAGGGGCCCGACCACAAGATTCTCAGCACGGGCCTCCGCTGTGCCCGTGCCCCTCCTCAGAGCCCTGGCAATCCCTCCGTGGCCTGCTTGCTCCTTTAACCCGGGGGCCCGGGGTGCACAGCGGGCCTCCGCTGGCCGTCGTGGTGCCCTCAACTCGCGCAGGCCTTCGCACGGGAGACGTCCAGACACAATCGGGCGCCGTTTCGAACCTGGGAGCCCTCCTTGGCAGTCTTTGGAGCCTCCAGCGGACCTCTTGAGGTCATTTGGTCCATGCTTGAGGCCCTCGGGGGCCGTCTCGGACCTCTCCAAAGCCCTCGTCGAGTCATGTATTCAGCCAACGACTCAAGAAGCTAAAACCCTCCGAAAACCCAACGGGTATTGACCATGTTTGCCGCTTCTGCCTTCCCTCCCTGCCTCTCGGAGCTCTTTTGGGTGCCTCCTCTGACATTATCGGGGCCTCTCGGGCGGCTCCAGGCCATCTTCCCGCCATCCTCAATCGCTCTCGAGGCCTCTGAGAGCCAGCTCGGCTCGTCTGGCCGCCTTTGGAAGGCCCTCGTGGCCCGCCCACGGTAGTGGCCCGACCACAAGAAGCCTTCCACAAGAAACCCAACCCTGAGACCCCAGGGCGTCCATCGATGTTTTGCGTGGGAGTGTCACGTTTTCCATAGCAAAACCGTCGAAACCCAAGAAACCGAGGGCATCCTGGAGGCAAGCAGGGTGCTTCTTGGCATGTGTTTCCAGTGTATGGCGCGCCCAGGGGGTCTCCGGCGGGCCTCCTCAGGACCCAGAAGTAATATCACAACGACTGCTGAGCGCGCGAGCCCCCAAACGCCACATAAGACAACAGACCAACCGCTGCTCCCCCGATGGCTGCCTCGTGGATGATGGTATCACTCCCGTCCTCCCGTGGCCAACGACGGCGCATAATGGTGCGAAGGTGCCCCCCCAGATGATTCCCCAAGACTGCCACATACATTTAGATTTCGCAGCAGCGCCGATGAATATCAACATTGGTCAGCACTCGGGGATCTACTGACCCGGATCAATCCAGACCAGGCCAATGAATCTTTGCAAGATCCTACAACATCCTGCGAGAACCTGCGGGATCCTGCACCCCAACCCGGGTCAGTGCACTTCCGGATCTGCAGGATCCTGCAAGCCCCTGCGCTCTGGCTAACCCCTGCTTGCCTTGACCCCCGTCTCGAGGCTCCCGAAACACAGCCTCCAGTAGCCGCTGGCCCCCTTGGGAGCCGAGGCCTCGTGGGTGAGGCTTCCCTGCGCCTTGCAGCAATTCCCGTCGCCGGTTTAGGAGGAGGAGGAGGAGGAAGAAGAAGAGGAGGAGGAGGAGGAGGAAGAGGAGGAGGAGGAGAAGGAGAAGGAGGAGGAGGAGGGAGGAGGAGGAGAAGGAGGAGGAGGAGAGAAGGAGAGGAGGAGAGGAGGAGAGGAGGAGGGGAGGAGAGGAGGAGAGGAGGGGGAGGGGGAGGGGGGAAGGGGGGGTGGGCGAAAACCACCCCGGGGAGGCCCTGGGACGCGCAAGGCGCATGAGATTTTCCTGCCCGCGGGGGGGGGGGGGCGGGGGGGGCATCGCCCTGCATCAGTTTCATGCCCGGGCCGCGCCCCCGAGGCCCCGACCCCATGCAAACTGCACTATAGGTTCGCGCCTCCCGGCGAATGGCATGAGACTCGCGCCCCCGAGACCACGATCCCTTGGAGACTACGCCAGGTCCGCGCGCCTCGAGGCCACGATCCCTGGGAAAGTACGCGGGACTCGCGCCCCCGGGTCCACAACCCATTGTACACTGCACCACGTTGGCGCCCCTGGAGCCACGACCTTAAATCAGCCGCACGAGACTCGCGCCCCCGTGGCCAAGACTCCGGATAAATTACGCCAGGGTCGTGCCCCCCCCCAAGCCAAGACTCCTTTGCAAATACATGCAGGCTCGCACAGAATCCGCGCCCCCGAGGCCACGATCCCTCGCATACTACAGCCGACTCGCGCCCCCGAGTTCACGAACATTGAGAATCGCCAACGATTCGCGTTCCCGAAGCTACGACCCCTCGTGCCTTACATCAGATTCGCGCCCCCGAGGCCACGATCCCGGGCAAAATGACGGCAGCCTTGCGCCCCTGACAGCCTGATCCCGCGCGCATGGCGCAAGGTCTGCGCCCCCTCGTGGCCATGACCCCTACAGTAAATTGCACCAGATTGCGCCCCCCGCGGACACTCCCCCCACGCAAATGAAAACGCGATCGCGTTCCCGAAGCAACACTCTGTGGTTGTTTTTCCTCACTCGCGCGATTCGAGGCCGCAGTCTCGGGTAGATTACGTCTCGCTCGCGCCCCCGAGACCACAACCTCGCGTTACTTACATCGTACTCGCGCTCCCGATGGCCCGCTAGGCCCGCGCTCCCATGGCCAAGATTCCTAGCGCATTGCAGCAGATCCGAGCCCCCGAGGCTACGACCAATTGTTATCTATAGTGGGTTCGCGCCCACCGAGGCCACGAACCCTTCCAGATCACCTTGCATTCGCTTCCTCAAAGCCACATTCTCGTGTAAGGTGCGACAGATTTGAACGGGCCCTGAGGCACACAAATACATACACATAAATAATACGATTCCCCATCGTTTCCCATATTTTCTTGTTTTTTCCAACCATCCTGTGGTGTTGGGTCCTCGTTTTGAAGAGACGTCGCCTCGCGTTCCTCCTCCTCTCCTCCTCCTCCTCCCCTCCCTCCTCCTTCTTCCGTGCGTATCACCCACCCAGCACAGCGTTTCGTGTCCCCATAGGGAGCTCCACCGAAACCCCCAGTGGGACCGCCCGCATGCGCCCCCCACACCCAATTTGGCATTGCCACCCACCCAGTACAGCGCTTCCTGGCCCCATAGGGAGCCCCACCGAAGCCCCCAATGGTTTCGCCCACATGCGCCCCCCACATCCAACTTGGCAGTGCCACCCACCCAGTACACCGTTTCGTGGCCCCATAGGGAGCTCCACCGAAGCCCCCAGTGGGACCGCCCACATGCGCCCCCCACATCCAGTTTGGCATGTTCACCCACCCAATACACCGTTTCGTGGCCCAATAGGGAGCTCCACCGAAGCCCCCAGTGGGACCGCCCGCATGCGTCCCCCACAACCAACTTGGCATTGTCACCCACCCAGCACATCGTTTCGTGGCCCCATATGAACCTCCACCGAAGCCCCCAGTGGGACCGCCCGCATGCGCCCCCCACGCCCAATTTGGCATTTTCGCCCACCACAGTACAGCGTTTCGTGGCCCCGTACGGAGCTCCACCGAAGTCCCCAATGGGGCCGCCCGTGTGCGTCCCCCACGCCCAATTTAGCATTTTCAGCCACCCAGTACAACGCCCCGTGGCCCCATAGGAGCTCCACCGAAGCCCTCAGTTGGTTGCGCCCACATGCGCCCCGCACATCCAACTTGACATTGCCACCCACCCAGCACAGCGCTTCGTGGCTCCATATGAACCCCACCGAAGCCCCCAGTGGGACCGCCCGCATGCGTCCCCCACACCCAACTTGGCATTGTCACCCACCCAATGCAGCGCTTCGTGACCCCATAGGTAGCTCCACCGAAGCCCCCAGTGGGACCGCCCGCATGCGTCCTCCACGCCCAACTTGGCATTGTCATCCACCCAGTATAGCGCTTGGTGGCCCAATAGGGAGCCACACCGAACCCCAAGTGGGATCGCCCGCATGCGTCCCCCACACCCGATTTGGCATTGCCACCCACCCAGTACAGCGCCCCGTGGCCCCATAGGGAGATCCACCGAAGCCCCAATGGTACCGCCCACATGCGTCCACCATGCCCGTTTTTGCATGTTCACCCGCCCAGTACAGCGCTTCGTGGCCCCATAGGGAGCTCCACCGAAACCACCAGTGGGACCGCCCGCATGCGTCCCCCACAGAAAGCTCCACCGAAGCCTCCAGTGGGACCGCCCGCACGCGTCCCCCACATCCAATTTGGCATTTTCACCGACCCAGTACAGCGCTTGGTGGCCCAATAGGGAAGCCCCACCGAAGCCCCCAGTGGGACCGCCCGCATGCGTCCCCCACACCCAACTTGGCATTGTCACCCACCCAGCACAGCGGTTCGTGGCCCCACAGGGGGCCCCACCAAAGCCCCCAGTGGGACCGCCCACATGCGCCCCCCACATCCAACTTGGCAGTGCCACCCACCCAGAACGGCGTTTCCTGGCCCCATATGAAGCCCCACCGAAGCCCCCAGTGGGTCCGCGCGCATGCGTCCCCTACGCCCAATTTGGCAGTTCCACCCACCCTTTACAACGCTTCGCGGCCCCATGGGGAGCTCCACCGAAGCCCCCAATGGGGCCGCCCGCATACGTCCCACACGCCTAATTTGGTATTTTCACCCACAGTGCAGCGCATCGTAGCTTCATAGGGAGCTTCACCGATGGCCCCAGTGCTACCGCCCGCATGCGTTCCCCCCCCGCCCAGCGCAGCGCTTCGTGGCCCCACAGGGAGCTTCACCGAAGAAGATATTCACAATTCGGCACCCACAACTTCATATGGTTGGGTGGTTGGGTCCTTCGCCAGGATGATTGCCTTCCCCCCCCCTTCCCATATTTTCTTATCTTTTCTGGGGAATCGACGATTCATTGCGTCTGTGTGTGTGTTTCTGTGTGTGTGTGTGTGTGTGTGTGTGTGTGTGTGTGTGTGTGTGTGTGTGTGTGTGTGTGTGTGTGTGTGTCTGTGTGTGCTTTTTTCCCTCCTTCAGATGAGCTCCCCCGAAGCCAAGGGCCCCTGCAAATGACGCCGGCTTCGCGCACGACCCTGCGTAAACTGCGCCAGGCTCGCGCCCGCGTGGCCAATGCACCAGGCTCGAGCAGGGCTGACCCTAAACGGCGTTTTTCGTGTTCGTTTTGTTTCCGTTTTCCCTCGCGTTTGTCTCCAATCCGCCTCTGCTGCAAAACGGAGTCGAAACGCAAACGGCCCACGAAATCACCAAAACCACCGTTTGGGCCCAGCCCTGCCTTGCAACAGGTTCACTCCCCGAGGCAGCGACCCCTTGGAAAGTGCAACAACTTCGTGCCCCCGAGGCCACGGTCCCACGTAAAGCGCACCAGAGTCGCACCCCCCGAAAACACTGGCAGCTGCAAATTACACCCGATTCGCGTTCCCCGAGCCCACCCCCCCCATGGAAATTACACCAGATTTGCGCCCCCGAAGACGCGATCCCTTACACATTTCACCAGGTTGGCGCCTCCGACGGCACGAGCTCATTGCAATTGCAACCAAGATCCGCGCCCACGAGGCCACGACCCCGACAAAAACTGCACCAGGCTCGCGCCCCCGAGGCCACGACCCCATGTAAATGACGACACGCAGGCGCTCGCGCGCCCGCAAGAAATCACACTCTTGGAGGCCTAGAGATGGGCACCAACACCAACACAGGGGTTTGCCTCCACATGGGGGGGGAAGATGATCCTAGATTTCGGTGTTGGTGGCAATATTTCGGTCACCTTGAAGCCAGAATATGACCACCATCACCGAGATCGGGATCTTCTTCCCTCGGTGGAGGCACACCGCCGATATTGGTGTTGGTGTCAACCTCTAGGCCTGCGACACTCCTCCAAAATCATAACCTTCTCTATGTGCTTGGCCTTTTCCCTTTGGGCGTGCGGGTCTTCAGGCTCGCCGTGGCTCCCGCTCTGCGAGCTCGCAGGCTGTATTTTTAGGCTAGCAGACACAACATTCATGGGATAATCGCCAAGGTCACGAAGCACGTGCGCGCTCGTCGCTGACCAGCGAACAAGTCAGCAATCATCGCATCACGGATTTATCAAATTCACTTTGCGCACGGTGCGATGTCGAAAACATCATGTGGCCATGTGCTTGTTTGTTGCTTCCGAGCATATCGCATTCTGATGGAGAAAGAGCCGGCGGCAGAGAGTGAAGAAGCTCTTTCGGATAATCTTCGGGAAGCCAAGACAAACTTCAAGCACTCAAAATGGTGCAAAATATTTGGTCCGTCATGTCTCAGCCGGAGTTCATGCTGATTGCTGCTCCATGCCTGCAGCGCGCACGTGGCGCCCCTACTTATGGTACGCAAGCAATGCGCACCAGAAAACCCGTCCACCTCCTGCTTGGCCAGAGATTACCAGAGAGATCAGTCGTAGGCGCAAGGGCCGTAACAGTGTCCTCGCCGATTACAGACAACCCGTATGATAAGGATGCGCGATACGGGTCCAAGCGCCTTGGAGGGCCATGCCGACACTCTGCGAGCGGGGCGCGGCCAGCGAAAGCGGCCAAGGATGGTTGGGATGCAAGGATGCAAGGGTACCCTTGGGAAGGCTGCCCATCCTTTCTATGCAGGTTGAATGTAGGCGCGAATTCATGGGGGGCGATGAATGGGGAACGACGACACGCCCTCCATGCGGGGGCGCCCTGGCAAGAGGACACGCCCTGGCAAGAGGACACGCCCTGGCAAGAGGACGGAGCGGGGGCGCACCCCGACGGGCAAGCCATGGCACAGCTCGTCAACGCCCATGAGCGGACGCCGGGGCCCGTGGGATCGTCGGCCCCGGAGGCCGCGCCCCTTCCTGATGCTTCAGGCGCTGCGCGGGGTGCCTGCGAAGCCCGATGCCGACGCGGGAGGAGGAGGAGGAGGAGGAGGAGGAGGAGGAGGAGGAGGAGGAGGAGGAGGAGCAGGAGGAGTGGGAGGAGGAGGAGGAGGAGGAGGAGGAGGAGGAGGAGGAGGAGGAGGAGGAGCAGGAGGAGGAGGAGAGGAGGAGGAGGAGGAGGAGGAGGAGGAGGAGGAGCAGGAGGAGGAAGAGGGGGAGGAGGAGGAGGAGGAGGAGGAGGAGGAGGAGGAGGAGGAGGAGGAGGAGGAGGAGGAGAAGGAGGAGGAGAAGGAGGAGGAGGAGGAGGAGGAGGAGAAAGTGGGGGAGGGCGGGAAGGGGGAAGAGACGAGGCGACGGCCCATTTCCTGCAGCAGGCACAAAGCATACGAGTTCTTGCGACAGGACATTTTGGGGCACCTTCTTTGTCGATCTCTGAGGGCCCTACGATGCTCCCGAGCTTCTGTGGGTCCCTGGGGCCCTCGGGGGATGAGACACTTCCATGGGGCACCTGCTCGCACGCAGATCTCTTAATTGTTGTGCCTGCCCACAGTCGAGGTGCTATCAGAAGGAACGCTAACTAAGGAACGAAGCCCCTTCTTGGCCCCAGAAGCGCCTAGGTGCCCGAGGAGTGATGGAGGAGGAGCCATGGAAGAGCTTTAGGAACAGCGAGCTCCTTCCGAACCCGAGGCGTTCCTTATTTCAGCGTCTTGGCTGTACTGTGGGGCTCCATCTGTCTGGACAACAGCCCTCGGGACCAACGGTCACCAGGCCCCGTGGATGCTCATGCTGGGCTGAACCAGCGCGCGCGCCGCCTTGAGCCGAGAGTCAACACCAGTGCGCGGCAGGGAAGGAAGATGAGGACGAGGACGACGACAACGGCAGCAATGAGCACGACCGCGGCGACGACGGCGACGGTTCCGACGCTTCGAGCGCACGGGTTTCTCCCCGTCCTCTGGTTGTCGCACGTAGGCGGCGGACATCCACGCCGGAAAGCAGAGCTAGAGGTGAGCTTCAAGAGCACGGCATCACCAGACTAGAGGCCTCCTAGATGAGGTCCGAGTAGATGGGGTCGGAGGAGGTCGCAGCATCGCCGACACATCGGCGATGCAATGGCGGCGTCAGCGATGCATCGGCGACGTCGGCGTGGAGAAAATTGGGCACCACCTCGAGCCGCATCGCCGATGCATCGCCGATGCATCGGCGATACGGCGCGATCCTCCGACCCCATCTGCTCTGACCCCATCTAAGAGTCCTGGACTGACGCCCCGCTCCGTCCACTGTGGATCCCGGACCAGCGCGCCCCGAAAACGCAGCAGCTCCTGACACCGCCCCCGTCCTGTCGTGCGCCTGCCCGAGCGGACGCGGCTGCACGCCCATGGCACGAGGAGGAACGAGGGGGGCTGGCTCAGGGGGGAGGGCAGCATGGACCTGGAATCGGCGGCACACAGTAGGGGCTCGACCACAAGAAACCTCCCACAAGAAACCCAACCCTGAGACCCCAGGACGTCCATCGATTGTTGGCGTGAGAACGTCACGCTCTCCACGGCAAAACCACCGAAACCCGAGAAGCCCAGGGCACCCTGGAGGCAACGAAGAGCACGAGGAGGAATGAGGGAACCCTGGAGGCAACCCTGGAGGCAACGAGGATCACGAGGCGGCAACCCTGGAGGCACCCTGGAGGCAACTTTGGCATGGGTTCCCACTGCAGCACGAGGAGGAACGAGGGGGGCTGGCTCAAGGGGGGCAGGGCAACATTGACTCGGAATCGGCGGTACAGTCAACCCGCAGACTAAGGATGCGCGATAGGGATGCAAGGCCCTTGGACGCCCATTTCGAAGCATTTCGAGCGGGGCGCGGCCAACGAAACTGTCCAAGGATGGACCCAGGAGGCAAGGATGCAAGGGTACCCTTGGGAGTGATGCCTATCCTTACTCTGCGGGTCGACTGTACATGGCCGACGTACATCGGCGATGGGCCCTCCATGGGGAACCTCCACGTTCCTGGGGAAGGGCGGGGCGCCTGGGCCCCCCATCGGCGAGGGGCAGCTGCTTGGGGGGTCGATTCGGGGAACCAGCACGAACATGCACACAAGCACTAGTCGGTGGCAGCCCATGGGAGCCTCCCATACCATGAGTCGACGCTCATCGACGCCAGTCGACGCTGATCGATGCTGAATCGACGCTCATCGACGCTACATTGGCGCTATCTCATCGACTCCCAAATGCTAATCGACGCCAGAGACGGAAGTAAGAGGGCATGCCAGGCTTGGTGGGCTTGTTTTCCACCACCGCCATTACCATAAGCAGGAGGGGGAAGGGGGTCCCCTCCTCCCCTTCTTCCTCCTGCTCATCCTCCACCTCCTTCCCCCCTCAAACTTATGGTGGTGGTGGAAAACAGGCCCATCAAGGCTCCTCTGGCATGCTGCCGAAACATTTGAAGGGGCCATGTGACACACACATGAATACACACATATAGCAGGATTCCCAATATTTATCCACATGTTCTGGGTGATAGTCTTCCCCCCCACTTCCCATATTTTCCTATATTTTCTGGGAATCGACGACTAATTGTGTCTGTGTGTTTCTTTCCCTCCTGAACATTGTCAGGTCCGTGCAGACTTCTCGGACATCGGCGCGGGAGTTCCCCCGTGCGGCGCCTCTGGCGCCGCCCCTGGCGCACTCCGCGCGCCAAAGGAGGGGGGGCTCAACGCCGATCCGAGACATCCGGGGGGAACGACAGGGGGGGTAGCAACGGGTAGGGTTAAGTCGGGCCTGTCCCCCTACAGGGGGGATTCTGGGCTAAAAATTGAAAATACCCGACAACTACCCCCCAAATGCTCAAAAATAATCAAAAATAGTCCCCTGACTATTTTTCGACTATTTTTGAACATCCCCCTGTAGAAGGACAGGCCCGACTTAAGGGTAGGGTCGAGAATCAGCTCACGCAGCAGCTGATTTTCCCAGCGCCTCCCGGCGCCGGGAGGCGCCCCTGTATCGAGGAGTGGGCCCAGCGGCGGGGCCGAAGCCAGCTGCAGGCAACAAATTTCGCAACCCCCCCTTTCCCTATCCACCCCCCTCTCCGTTCGGCCCGAGACACCCGCGCGGACCTCCGAATTCTGTTTACGTCTGTCATTTTGCTTGTTCCCCTCCTGGAGGAGGAGGAGGGAGGAGGAGAAGGAGGAGGAGGAGGAGGAGGGCGGAGGAGGAGGAGGAGGAGGAGGAGGAGGAGGAGGAAGTGGAGGAGAAGCCCCCTCCCCGCTCCTCCGCCCCTCCCCGTCGCCGCAAAGGCAAGACCTCCACGGTGCGCACGCCCAGCGCCCCAGGCCGAGGCCGTGCCCGCGCAGTGAGCGCGCTGGCGCCCGAGCGGGGCGCGGCGAGGAGGCCGCTGCTGCGGTGCCGCGGCCGTCCGCGAGCGGGGTTGCTGCTCGGCGGGGGTCCCAGGGGCAGACAATCGAAACAGCTCTCGTGCTGGGGGGAAGGGGCTGGGAGGAGGAAGGGGTATGAGCAATAGGTTCTGGATGCAATTCACGATCCCTCCGGCCGCCCACGAGGAATGAGATCCTCACTTCTCACAGCCCCATCCTCCCAACCCGATCATGGATTTCCTGCCAGTAAACGCAACTCCCTGGATTCCCCACCCATAAAAAGTAGCGCTTCGCCAGGTCTGGTTCAGGTTAGTCCAGAAATCGACTCACCATGGTGTTCTGGCTCGATTTGGCTCAGAAGTGCGACTGACTGCTGCGATTCGGCTCGGTGTCAACTGAGATGCATGTTCCCTGGGGCTCGAAGCCTATGTCTTTACGTATGTTCCTATCGATTGCCCCTCGTCTGTGGCTCGAACACAATGTTTTACGCATGTTGCCATCGATTGCCCCTTTCCTGGGGTTCGAATCCAATGTGTTTCATTTATGTTCCTATATATTGCCCCTGCCCTGGGGTTCGAATTCTCTGTGATTCACAGATGTTCCTATAGTTTGCCCCTTTCTTGGGGTTCGAATACTATGTGTTTCATCTGTTCCCATGGACTGCCCCCTTTCCTGGGGCTCCAAGCCTATGTGCTTCACCTGTGGTCATACAGGTTGCCCCTTTCCTGGGATTCGAAAACCTATGTGTTCTACGTGTGTTTCTAAATATTGTTCCTGTGGCTCGAATCGCATGTTTTTTGCATGTGCCGCACGTTGCGCCGGCTGGTTAACTGACACGCCTGGCGGGGGCCTCCTCCGGTTGCTCCCTCCCTTCTTCCTCCCCCCCTCATCGAAGCCCTATGGCGCCCCCCGTCGGCCGGGGTGGTGCACTCAGTCAGGCCGCGGGGGGGGGAGGGGATACCTACAATGGACCTGCGTCCTTGCCCGAGCGCCCGGCAGCCTTGCATCCGTTTCGGCGATCGTTGCCGCGCGGGTCCTCTGTAGATCCCGCATCGGGAAAATTTGCGCCCAGGGGAGGGGGGCGGTTGCAGGCCACAAGGAGGCCGCCCCTTCCCCCCCCCGCCCCCCCCCCCCCTCCAGGAGCTCTCGACCTCATGCACGTCCCTTCTCGCTCCCTCATCCTCCTGGGCCCCGTTTCACTCGCTCCCTCCTCCTCCTCCGAGGCGCCGTTTCACGCTCACTTCGCCCTCGTACCCGAGTCAGAAGAGAAACTCACTATGGTGCTCTGGCTTGCGCCCGCGCCAAGGATCCTGAGTCCGAGCGGGCAAATCGAACAGAACCACATGGCTCGCTGAAGCAGTACATGCTCAAGGACCAAGGAAAAGAAGAGAAACATAGAGCAGAGAAGAAAGACAAGTCCCTCCTCCTTCCCCTGCTCCTCCTCCTCCTCCTCCTCCTCCTCCTCTTCCCTCCTTCCCCCCTCCCTCCCGCAATCCAGAAAACCCTCCCCCCTACCTCCCTCCTCCCTCCTCCCGTCGCCTCCTCCTGCTTCACTTAGCGAGTTGAGTGCCGCTTCATCCTGACCAGCCAGCAATTGAATCAGATGCACAATCCAATCCGCCGCCTCCTCCTCCTCTTGCCTCCCCCCTCCTCCCTACCTATCCTCCACCCTCCCTCCTCCTTTTCCTCCTCCTCCTCCTGCTCGTCCATCTTCTTCTTCTCCTCCTCCACGTCCTCCTCCATCCCTGATCCTGTTCAATAGTTCCTCCATGTCGCACCCCGGGCATGTCGGTGGGGCAGGCCAGGGGGTTCGCCCGAGACTTCCTCACAGTTTATGATGCTGGCGCTAGACAGCCAGCATAACTTCCAAGGTGGATAGGGGGTGTCGCTTCGTACATGGGGTCCTCCCCGTCGCGCGGCAAACACCCTTTTAAAGTACGTGCCACAAGATCACAGATAAAGGAACGTTGTTTTCAAAATAGGGTTCGCCTTTGCGCAGCGCGCACTCGTCTTAAACAGTTGCAGCACATATAGGGATGGATGTGGAGTCGTGTTCAAAACGGGGCTCGCCTTAGCGCAGGGCGCATTCGTTCTAAGAGTTTTCAGAAGCTCCCAGGATGGAACACATGTCGTTGTCAAACTTGGGCGGTCGCATCAGCGCGACGCATATCCGTCTTTGAACCAATGCTACCACTTGAAAGATGGATGACGCTTATTTTCAAAATGAGCTCTCACCAAGGCGCCGCCGTGGATATCCGTCTTACATGTGTGCGGCGGTTTCACGGATGGAGCACAGGTCGGCTTCAACATGGGACTTGCGCCTGAGACTTCCTCGATTTCAAAAACAGAAATTCCATCAAATGTACCAGCTGCACGGATGGAGGGCGGTTCCTGTTCAACATTGGGCTTTCGCTTGGGACCTTCTCGAAGACCATGTGCAACAATTACACGGATGGGGCGGTCCTCTTTCGAAACGGTGGTCGCTGGACAGCGTTGAACTGTATGCCCGTATGTTCGCGTTCTTGATTGTTTGCTCGGAGGGTGCAAGGAGCTTCCTTTTCAAAACGGGGCCATCGCCTGAATGGCAAGCCCCTTGGCTGCTGGTCGCGTAGGGACTCATGGGGAGGGAGCTTGACACGGAAGGGAATGTTGCAGCGGTCGTCTTGCAACATCGTTGGCGAGTCTTGGGTTTCTACTGGTCCTCGCACGGCGCTGCGAACAGTGTCTATTCTCACCTCTGCTGCTGCTGCTGCAAACGGGCGGTGGACCTGCGCTCCGCCTGCACCTCGATGGTGGGTTTGCACTGCTCCTCCTCCTCCTCCTCCTCCTCCTCCTCCTCCTCCTCCTCCCCCTCCTCCTCCTCCTCCTCCTCCTCCTACTCCTCCTACTCCTCCTCCTCCTCTTCCTCCTCCTCCTCCTCCTCCTCCTCCTCCTCCTCCCCCTCCTCCTCCTCCTCCTCCTCCTCTGCGGCCCTTCTGCTCCTGCCCCCGACCCTCCCGGCCCCACCGCCGCTTGCCCTGCTCCCCGCGGGCGGGGTGGGCGAGGCCAGCCTCGCTGCCGCCCCTGCTCGCGAGGGCGGCCACGGCGGCGCCTCCGCCGCTGCGGGGCGTGGTGCGCGCCGGCTCGCCTCCCCCCCCGTCGGCGCGGGGGGGGAGGGCCGTCGGAGCGAGGCAGAGCGAGGAGGCATGAGCACTGTGCTTAGCTCCGATGCACTTCGTGCGCGGATGCAGGTGGCGCTTGGAGCCGGAAGGACCTGCCACATCTTTTCCGAGACTTGGGGGGAGGGAGGGAGGAGGGAGGGGGAGGGAGGGAGGAGACCAGGCGGTGTGCGACGTGACGAATGGGGGGCATGGGCAGGATGGAGCGGAACGAGCACGAGGAGAGATGAAGGGGCTCGAGGGAAGGAGAGGGCGGGGACGGAGGGAGAGTGGCGGGAGGGAGCGCAGGCAAGGCTGAAGAGGGGGAGGAAGGGCACGGAGGAGGAGCAGCACCGAGAGCAGGGGCCAAGGTGGAGGGAGGCGAGGAGTGTCGTGGCGCGCAGCAGCGCTGGCAGCCCTGCCGCACGTGGCCCGAGCGCGCGTCAGCCCAAGCTCCAGTTGGCCCGCTTGGACCTCATAGCCACCGCCTCCCCGAACAGGTGCACCTCCAGAGGCACGCGCTCCACCCGGGCCAGTGCGCTCAGCGCCCCGGCGGCAGCCTCCGACAGGCCGAGCACCTCCTCCTCCGCCCTGGCGCGCACGACCTCGTCCAGCTCCCTCAGTGGCACCAGCTCCTCGATCGGCACCTTTGAGCAGGGACCGACCGTCCCGGCATTCCGATATCCCTACCACGAAATGCTCTCAGAACCCAGAAATGTTCTAGGAGCAGGAACAATGCTCTTAGAGCATAAACCCGCTGTGCTAAAACAAGACAGTCCCGACCAGACATGTTCTAAAAACATTTCGTGGGAACCACGAAAGGTCCTTAGAACATTGCTTGGCAGGACTGTATGCACGCCAGGACGCTTCGCCACTGCTTGACACCTGCGGCAGCTCGCTGGTGCACCGCCTGAGCAGCGCGCGGACGGCCGCGCTGCGCACCTGCAGGGGCACGTTCCGGGGGACCGGCTCCGAGAGGGAAACGTCGAGCTCGAGACCGGCGACACGCCGCCGATGGATCGGCGACGGGCCCTCGATGGCGACACCGAGCGTTCCTGGGCGGGGTGGGCCATCGGGCCACAACCGGCGATGACTTGGCGATTGGGGGTCGAGACGTCTGGGAGGCGGCCGGGGGATCGAAGCCGGTGGAGACCTTACAAACATCAGCCAGGAGGGGGGAGGGAACCCAAATCCGTGCAAAATCGGTACCTGGACCCCTCCATGGTCCAGCTGGTGCAACTCTTCACCCAGGACTCCAGGACCCGTTTTCGTCTGTCCCGGGGCCCGAAAACGGCCCCTGGAGGAAGACAACCGCAACAAAAACCTCTCCGGACCCAGAACCCGAAAGACAAAGGCTGGCTGGCACAAGTGCTGGGCCACCTCAGATACTCCGAGGGCTCCAAAAGGCATCCCTCCTGAGCTTATCCTAGGCGGCGCGCCTGGGGGGGAAGTGAGAAGGCGCGGGCCTTCTCGGAAGGCTCGAAGTCCCGGGGCCTTCTGAGAAGTTTTCGAAGCCTTCCCGAAAGACACCAGAAGCTTCTCAGCAGGCGCGAGGGCTCCTGAGAAGCCCAGCCGCTGTCTGAGAAGGCCTTCTCCTTCTCACTCCCCCCCCTCGCTCGCCGCCGGTGCCCCACCTAACTTGGGCGCCCGAGTGATCCGGGGTAACTCGGGTCCGGGGTAACTCGGGTTTGGATTCCCGTAAAACGAACCCGAATTAGCCCTGACCCGAGTTACCCCTGATGATTCGGGGCTCTGGACGCCCGAACCATCTGGGGCAACTCGGGTCTGGGGCAACTCGGGCTCGGACTCCCGAGAAACGAACCCGAGTTAGCCCTGACCCGAGTTACCCTTGATGATTCGGGGCTCTGACTAACGTTGCCCGGAGCACCCCCATGCCCACGTCCAGCGCCCCGCGCAGCGCCAGGCGGCACGCCCCGGCGGGGATCTCCGGCGCCGTGCGCAGCAGCCCGTGCTCCAGGGCGGCGCGCAGCAGCGGGCTGGCAAAGCCCAGCTCCGAGAAGGCGCCCAGCAGCATCGACACCTCCCTGGGGCTCAGCTCTGCGTGGCGGCGCCCTTCGCACAGCCAGGCCGTTGCGCCCTGCGGTCGGGGGGGGGGGTCTCTGTACGTGCAGTAGGGGCCCGACTACAAGAGACCTTCCACAAGAAACCCAACCCTGAAGACCCCAGGATGTCCGTTGATGTTCTGGTGTGGGAGCGTCACGCTTTCCACAGCTAGACCATCGAAACCCAAGAAACCCAGGGCACCCTGAAGGCAAGCCGGGTGTTTCTAGGCATGGGCCTCCACTGTAGGCGCGAGCGCGGATTGTAGGCTTAGGCTTAGGTCGAGCACGTATTCCTACAGGCGAGTGGGAATAATTAGAACACAGCCCATACATATTCAGCATTAATCGGTAACGCGAAGAAGAATCCCCATACTATGTTTCGACTATGTTTGAACATCCCGCCTGTTGATGGACATGCCCGACCTAAGTTTAAGCGCGCGCGATTCGTTGCTTGTCCGCCTTCTGCGCCTTGTCGCCGCGAGCAGAGCCGCGACCCCAAACCAGTCTGTGTGCGGGGTGATGATGATGATGATGACGATGATGATGATGATGATGCTGACGAAGCGGATCGTCCACTGGAGGAACACGACACCTTTACATCAACCGAAACCTGTCAAACGCGCTAGTCTTTGGTACGCAGATTGAACTTGACATGTTCAATCCACACAAGGAACATATATGTAGATTTTACTGTGCGCGAATGCATTGCGTGAGCGCGCAATCGTAGATGCAAGGACGCTGGCGTCGGTATACGCACACGCCTACATGCACACATGCCGCCTCGGTTCCCTGCACACACCCACAACCTTTCACGACCTACCAAAAGGATGCGGCAGGCACAATACAGCTGATGGACAAAATTCTACACCATCCGCGCGACTGGGGCGCCGGCGCAAAGTACCCGAGGAGGAGGAGGATGAGGAAGAAGAGGAGGAGAAGGATGAGGAGGAGGAGGAGGAAAAGGAGGAGGAGGAGGACTGGACAACGCGCCCCGCTGCCCCCGATCTAGTGTTGGTCGGCATCGCCGGCGGGGCGCAAACCTCGGCCAGTCGACAGAGCGATGCCTCGCGGCGCCGCCCGCCAATGCGAAATTTTGGGCGTCTTCCTCCTCCTCTTCCTCCTCCTGTTCCTCCTCCTCCTCCTCCCTCCTCCATCCTCCCTCCTCCTCCTCCTCCTCCTCCTCCTCCTCCTCCTCCTCCTCCTCCTCCTCCTCCTCCTCCTCGCGCGTCGCCATCGCTGAGTCCACTACTGTCCGCCTACCGGGATCGGGAGAGAGCAGCGCGCGCCTGACTGTGCAGGGCGTACGCCTCCGGTGGCGTCGGCAGCACACGTCCCTGTGCCTTGAGGAGGTTGTGGAAGTGGAAGGCAGCAGCAGGAACCTCGAAGGAGGACGGGGAGTAATCGAGGAGACCAAAGCGGGCTACAGGGCAGGCCGGGACATCTCGACCTAAGATGAGTGCAGTATTGTGGAGAAAACGGGGGCAACCCCAATAATGATGCTGGGAGTCTGGACATTCATGGCAACCGAGCCTACAACCAAACGGTTCGAGGTCGTGCATTCTGTCAGATGTGACCCACGCTCCGCCCAGAGTTTTCCAGACAGCGTTCGTAAAACTGGGTTTCAAGTTACAGAGACAAGCTTTGACCAAAGACCAATTAATTCTAGCAGTATGATCTACATGCTGGGGGTACCACCTCTTAAGCCATTCTGTGAAGTCATGCGACACACGGTCGGGGAAGACCCCGCACAGCAGCGCCTTGCCGAGAACTTTCTGCGCCTTCAGCTTCCTAGCGCCGTCATGGGATGAGCGGGCTCGGGCAAGGGCAGCGAGGGCATCAGCACCAGCATACCTCACAATTGGGAGAGAAGGAAATCCGAGAGCCGCTTCCTCGAGGTCCTGACAGAGGGCTTGCCGCGCCCAGAAGGGCGGATAATATTCTTTCTTCACAACCCGAGCGAGCGGCAGGTGCTTGCGGGCTTGCACCCGAAGCCCCGTTGCAAGGGTCTGCCACTCAGGAGACGTCACAAGTGCACTGCACATCAGGGTAGCGAGCTGGGCGACCACTAAGCTCGGGATTGCTGGGCCACCCCAGCGAAACGTGGGCGACCCTGCCAGAGGGGTGGCCTACAGTGGGGTACATTCAAGAGCGAGGCCTGAAGAGCGTGCTCGCGCCGATCAATGGGATTGCGGGAGAGAGAGGAGGTCTCAGGAGGAAAAGGGAACTGGGCATCGTATGAGACGCATGGGACTGCGAGCTTGGCGCACAGATATTGCGACACAGTCGTTGGCGCACCGACCCGAACGATGGTGGCGCCTCTCGAGGCCCACTTTTGAATCGGAGCACGCCGGGCGTGGTCCACGACGGGAGGGTCCAACAGGATCCCCTAATAAGTGAGCATCGGAACGATTTGAAACTCAGTCCAGGCGGGGTGGTGGTCCGCTAGCCACCTCGAGTACCTACTGGTGATCTCCTCCGAATGTTCCCCAGCGAGAGGCACTAAGAAGCATTTAGATGGCTTAATTGTCAGATTGGTGGCTTTCTCCCCCCATTCAAACACTTCTTTCATTATGGCAATGTGAGCTAACTGAACTATAACACAGCCCCTAGATCAGCAGCACACGCCCGAGTCATAGCGAAACGATGCCGATCAAGTCGATCATGGAACGCCGCCAGCAGAGGGTGACTGGCAACCGCATACATGGCCCCCGACGCTGGACATCCCTGGATGATCCCACTATCTATATCAAAGGGGTACCTGAGCGTACTACCCTGGACCCCGAAGCACTGGACGACAGAGTAAATCGCGGACAGGAGGGCTAACAGGGGTTCGGGGAAGTTCGCGGCATTCAGGCACATGAAAATCCACTGCTGCGAGATCGAAGGACATGCTTGCCCATAATCAAATGAGACTAGACATGGCAGAGACCTCGAGACCTCATCGCCCACCGAGCAGATTCTGGCAAACTGATCAAGCTCCAAGATGTTCAGCCCGACATTCCGTCCGCCAGCGAAGCCCCTCTGGGTGTAGAGCACAAACTTGGATAATGCTTTTGAAAACTGAGATGTCGCAAAGCCCGCGGCGATTTTGTTTGCCGTCTGCTTGAGGCCGAGGGGTCGCGTCTGCCGAGCAGAGCGCATGATCTCGACAGAGCCGCCGCCCTCCGAGCCCTTCGGCACGAAAGCGGCGCGCGCGAAGTTGCAAGATGGGGGCGTGGCCTTCCCCTCCAGGAGCCACCAGAGGTCACTATCAATCAGCCGACCTCCCCCAGGGCGGTTTTGCCGCGCAGCGCATGGGAGCCCATCTAACCCAGGGGCGCCATGGCTATGTCTAGCCAGGAACCTCTCGAGCCCTTGGAGCGTTGGCGGCGGAAGGTCTTGAAGTTGGGCCTCAGGGGGGTACCTTTGGAGTAACTTCTTGGCAGCCTCCTGGTCAACGTCACGCGCGGCAAAAACTTCACCCCAAGGTTCGGCCAGCAGCCCCAAGATAGCGCCAGGAGCACGACAGACCCCATGATCATGTCGCAGCCCCTGAAGACACAACCGGCGCTCGAGAGGGGGCCAGAGCCTACTCCTGTTTCCGTCGGTGCTTATTCTTCTCGAGGTCGGATCGAGCGTTCGATATAGTCTGGTTGGCCTCATTCTGCCGTCGATTCAAAATCGCCATGTGGGCTTCGTTGGAGACTCGCAGGAATTCGTCAGGCTCAAGCAGGGAGACGCGCTTCCCCAGCACGTCGACCTCCAAAAATCTGGCGCCAAGCGGGCGAGACGCACACGCTCGGCAAGTCGAAAATCCTGCCTCCAGATCGCTCTAGCCACCGACTTCACCGCCATGATTTTGGCCAGGGGGGACCCAGGGAGCTTCGCGATGGCATGGTCGCGAGCATAGCGGGCAGCTTCGCGCATGAGCATCGACTGATACTGAAGAGCCAGAGGCGGGGACATGTCGTCGCAGGGGCCCTTCTCCAGGGCCGTCTCGAGGAACCGCTCGTACTGGGCACTCTGGAAAACCTTCCTCATGATGGGTCTCTCCCCCTGGGGCATGGGCGGGACGGTGGCCAGGGAGAAGAGGATCGGCGAGTGATCGGACAGCCCCTTCGAGCCCATCACTTCGGGGTGCTCGATGGCTTCCCCCGCGATACATAATTGATTGCCGAGCCAGCCAAGCGCAGAAACAAAGCCCCTGTCGATTTTCGTCATTTTTGTTGCCAGGCCTGTGGTAGTACGCATAGTCAGGGAACTCGACCTCCACAAAACTGCGAAGAGCACCAGCCAATACAGCGGACCCCTGGGACCTCCATTCCTGGAAATTCTGAAGGACCTGTGGTAGTACGTATAGTCAGGGAACTCGACCTCCACTAAACTGCGAAGAGCACCAGCCAATACAGCGGACCCCTGGGACCTCCATTCCTGGAAATTCTGAAGGACCACAGGCGTCGGGACCTCATCCGAAAACAGCGGCGGCTCTGCGCTGATGTTGAAATCGCCTAGCACCGCGACCAGGCACTTCAAGGGCGAGCTGGCAGCGGCGCCCATAGCGGCCGAGATCGCATCTGCCACCCTCTGCATAGAAACACCAGGGATTCCAAAATTATGGACATTGAATACCGACAGCCACATTCCATATTCGAACTCGATTCTGGTGTGGTTAACCCTCCCCTCAACAATGGTCTGTCGCATGATATTAGGTCGGACCGAAAGGTAGTCGAACGACGGGAAAATGGTGACAACCCCTCCTTTCGAGCGTGATGAAGACGAGAACGAGGAATGGGAAGAGAAGCCTTGTGCGTGGGAGTGGAAGAGAAAATCTTGATGGCGATGAACTGAACCATGAACTTCCTGAAAAGCGAGAACAGAACCAGGGGCAAGATGAGAGCGAACGAGAGAGGCCTTCCGCGAGGCCAAGTCCGAGGAGTGATGGAAGAATGCCCTGGTGTTCCAACTCAGGAACTTGAGCGGGAGCCGTGTCCCGCTGGAAGAACGCCAAGCACCGAAAATGCTAGGAGCTTCACTCCACCGCGCCCGCGGCGTTGAACTCGGCATTGGTGGCAGCGACCAAGGCGTCTTTGTCGATGCCCAGGTGCTGCAGGTTGGCCGTGGAGTATTCGACACAGGGAACTGCGTCGCCGTGTTGAAATGTGACCTTGACCAACGCTTTCCACTGGGAGCTGATCTCGCCCTTCTGCGTGTCGGTGAAGAAGCGCAGGTCGCCGTGGCTGCGCTCCAAGATTCGTCGAATCTGCTTGCACGCCAGCTCCCGTTTGGTCTGGCATGCATTTTTGTCGCCACTGAGGAAAACCTCGACCCGCTTGTTGGTGATGTCGAGGGTGGAGAACCGCATCCAGTCCCCGTCGTCCTTCTTGAGCGCCCCGAGGGCCTGGGAAACCTTGCGGCTGGCGTAGGCGGCAGAGCCCTTGAAGCGGAAGTTGTACCTCTTGGAGGTCGGGCCCCCTTCGATGGTGTAGTCGTCGGCGCCGATGTTGACTTTGTTGAAGCTCGCGCAGTGCGACCTCCATGCTTGACTTGCCGACCAGGGACTTAGCACGAGCAGTAAGGATACCAGTGTCAATAGCCCTGTCAAAGGCAGGGTCTGGAGCGGGCTTCGGCGGGGTCTCGCTGCGCACGGCCCCGAGGATGGTCCTGAGCTCCTCAACCTGTCGCTCCAGAGTGGTGAGGCGCCCGTCATGCCCGTGGATGGTCTTCTCCAGGGCGTTGCACCGCTGCTCGAGCTTGGTGGATAGCGAGTCGTACGGGGTGGTGACCTTCGTCGTGAGCACGCCCATGGCCTCGCGAACGCTGGCAAGGGCTCCGAGCACTTCATCACGGGATCCATCCACGTACTTCTTGATCTCGTCAGGAAGCCCCTCAGACTTGAGCTTCTTCTGTTCGTTGCCATCCTCATGGGCGGGGGCGAGCATCGCGCGCGGCCCAGAGGGAGTCGAGAGGTAAGAGAAGGTGGGAGACGGATGGGCCCGCTGCCAACCTGGAGACAGCGCCTCGAGCCCAGGTTTTTCCCTCCACGAAGGCGGAAGGGCAATCCCTCCACGGCTTGAGCGAAAATGGCTACGGACCACCTCCTCCTCCTCCTCCTCCTCCTCCTCCTCCTCCTCCTAGTCCTCCTCCTCCTCCTCCTCCTCCTCCTCCTCCTCCTCCAACTCATTCTCGCGAGGCTGCTCGTGCGAATCATCATCAAAGGGTGCCTTGGCAGCCTGGGTGGGACAATTCGAAGGTAGACGTCGGATCCATTTTGGCGGCGTGCCTGCTCTCAGTGTGCCCCGGAAGCGGCAGGGCCGTTTTGCACCGTTTCTGAAGAAATGTCCCTTGAAAATGGAGACGGCGAAAAAACGGCGACCGGAAACGGCCAAAAAAACGGTTCCAGGATTGGACCCGGAGCCGGAACCGGTACGGAACCACGGCGTCGGAACCAGCAAAAAAACTACAAAACGGAACTGGTACAAAAACGGCCCTGTCGTTTCCAAGGCCCACTAAGTGCTTGCTTCGGCAAGAAGCTTCGCGCTCGCCTTCCTGCTCGCCGAAGCCAGTGCTGGGCCATCTCAGACACCCAGACCCCAGCCGGCTCCCAATGACAACGCTTAGGATGTAGGATCCAGGAGTTGCTTCATGCGGGGGGGGGCGATAAACGGGGAGGGGGTGGAGAAACGTGCACCTCCCGTGCCCCTAGTGGGCCCCAAGGGGCCCCTTGGGGCCATCTTTCGGGCACAGAGCGCAAGCCGTTCTTCACCCCCCCCCTGGCGACGAAAGGAGAGGGGTCTTACGAGAGATGACCTACCGACCTTGCGCGGTGGCTTACGCGGGCCACCCGCGTGAGGCGCCACGCTGGAAACGAGGGCAGCGCGCCGACGCCTGTGAAAGCGGCACCGCTTTCCCGCGTCGCTCACTTATCGCCCCCCATTCGCGCAACACCGGACGGATTTCGTCCAGCAGCCTCCCGTGCCCTTTCGTGCCACTTTTGGGCCCCAGGTAGCCCCTTTGGAGATTTGGAGCCCCTCTAGAGCACAAAAAATGCACCTTCCTTCCTTCCCCCCCCCCCGCCTCCATTAGAGAGCAGGAATCCCACCCTCATGATCAGCAGCCCAACACGCGAAGCCATTGGTAAACGCACCCAAGGAAGGAATCGAACAGAGAAGGGCTAATCAGTAAACGCCAATTTTCGGGCTCGGGGTGGCTGACTTATCGCCCCAGCTCATCATGAGGGAAACGGGTCCCGAGGGAAACAGGTCCTGGACCCTGGGGCCTCCCCCCCCGCACGAGATCTTCATCCTGAGTCGTTTCCTGACAGCCCTGGGGCCCGTGAAGGGCCCCTGAGAGCCTGACAACGGCGAAAAATCTCGGGACCCCTTTCCCTCAGGACCCGCTTCTCCCCCATGGCGACCAACGCCCGAAGGATCTCGTCCATTATTGCCGTTCCTGCAACGTGCTACCTCGTGCCCCCCCCAGCCTGCAGCAGCTGCTCGTCCCGCCAGCGCAAGCGAGCCGCGCCCGCCACCAGCTGCAGGCACTCGTCACGGGTGACGTGGAATATGGCGGCGTCTGCGACGGCGTCGTCGGCTCCGCCCGCGTCCTCTGCAGCGTGGATGGCCCAGCGAAAAGGAAGCTCGCGGAGGCTTTCGCCCGTCCTCGGCAGCCTTGCAGCCTTGGGATGCCTTCCAGTGGCTGCGCCTCGCCGAGAGCGTTCCAAGGATGCCCGGATCGTCCCGAAAGTCCGCCGGAGGCCTGAGTTACGGTCGGGAACTTGTGCTTAGCGACACGCTAACCCTAGGAAGCAAACAATACCCACCAAACATGAATGCTTAATGATCATTTTCGGCGGCCCCTCTCCGGCGATTACGTTAGCACGTCAAAGAAACAATGACATCCACCGACCTCTGCTTGCCAGGGGTGCGAAGGCATGAAAGGCAAAGGCATGAAAGGCGTATGAGCCATTTGGCTGTCCCCATCCCCCTTTCCCCCTCCCCTGGGGTTCAACGTGACTTTTGAGGGGAGGTGTGGGGTGGGGGCTGGGGGGTGTGGGGGGGGGCACGAGCTCGTCAACGCACCCCTGGGGCCTCTTGAGCCTCCAAAAAAGCGCGGGGAGGGCCAAGACAGAACGTCAAGATAGTCGAGGAGAGCGTCGAGACGACCCACAAAAGCCCCACGACGGACCAAGATGACTTCAAGACGGCCCTCAAGACTCCCAATACGACCCTTGCCTTGCAATCAACCTCTGCCATCCCCCCGCCATTCACTCGGCATCGTCCTCCAGAGACAGATTGGGGTCAGAGCCCTGACCCCTGGAGCCCTCCCTCTTGGCCTGACATCCTGGGGCCATGCAGCATCAAGGTATACATGTTTGTTTCGTTTCTGGGCTCCATGCGCCCTGCAGATCGATATGGATACCTCCAACTGTGGAGGTGCCGCTGCCCCAGCTGCTTCCACAAAGGTGGCCAACGGATCTGGCCACCCCTTCCCGCCGAGGGGCACACAGAAAAGCGAGCAAGCCCATCCTCAGGGGCAAACGATCAATTCTGTTTTGATTGGGTGGATGGGGATCCAGATCCAGCTCCGCAACACTGGCAACCCGTCGGCCCGACCGTGTCTTGCATCCAGCGGGTGTCCGCGGGGCCGCCGACAGCGTCCGCCGCCCCCGCGGCGGGCGCCACGGCGGTTCCAGCCTCCCTCGCGCGCCGCCTCAGGCGGAAATGCCGCTGCCTCAGCTGCTTCCACCATAGGTCGTCCTTCGAGCGGAACGCGCGCGGGTCGGACGGCATCTTGTAGGCCCCTGCCTTCGAGGTGGAGACCGACAGGCAGTGCGTCACTGCGCAACTGCCTTTACCTGCACGTCTTTGGTTCCACCCTCCCCCCCAGGCAGTCGCCGAGCAGCGTGCCAAAACCATGGGTGTACTACACGCTCTTGGGAAAGATGTAGAAGAAAGGTTTGCGCAACCCGTGCGCAACCTCGCGCACACCCGTGGACAACCTGTGCGCGCCTCTCCCCCCGTGGAATATAACGAAGGTGTTTGTCACATCCTCCCGGACCTTGCAGAGCAGCGCAGACACCTGCACCAGAAAGGCGCGCTCGCCAGAGCTCCAGGCGTCGGCGACCAGGCCACGCTCGCCAGGGGCCCGGTGCGCCGCCAGCGCCGCGGGCACGGCGCAAAGGGCGCTGGGGGTGCACTCCGCCAACTCACCCTCGCGCGACAGCAGCACCGCGCCCATGGCGGGGCAGATGTGCCGTAGCGTGGCGAAGTCCCGCAGCAGCGACACGAGGTGCTCCGCGTGGAACTTGTACGGCCGCTCGGCCACGAGGCGCTGAACGCCCTGGGCCAGCTCTGCCTCCGGCTGGCCCACGCGCGCCAGAGCGGCGAAGACGTCGCAGGTCTTCTTGGTGGACAGCGCCCCGATGCACTGGACCAGCCGCAGAGAGAGCATCTGGTACAGCGTGGAGCCCCATGTGCGGTGGTAGCAGCTGTCAGGCTCGACGCTGATCGCTGCCAGCGCCATGACCGTCTCTCCAGCGGCCAGGGCATCCATCTTGTCAATGCAACGCGGCACGTTGCGAATTAGAAGGCGAAATGTCCGCTTATCGCCGGTCTCCAGAAAAGCCAGCACTCTCAGCGCCTTGGCAGCATAGCCATAATTCATGCTCAGTATGAGTTTGAACGTCTCGCTCCCAAATCGCTCGACCATCTCTCGGTCTTCGACTTGAAAGACCAAATACATTTCGGCGATGTCAATGAGATTCCACCACGCGTACTCGTGCAATCTGTACGGCAATTCCCGCTTCAACACCTCAATGAATTCGTCGCACCGGAATCTCAACGCTACAAAAGCGCGTGCAATATCACCGATCTGATCTTCCGTGAAATACGCGAATCGTAAGTCCAAGACCTCCGCTACGAAATTGAAGAGCTTAGGCGCCCGAATGCCGAGGTTGCCGTGAAGACTGACGAGCTCCGTGAGCTCTGGAGGCTCCAGTTCTATCACCCCAGAAACGACCCTTTCGCACGCCGCTCGGAAGAAACTCACGTGTGACACGCCCATCCGCTGGTAGCAGCGCACTAGTGGCAACAACGTCTTCCCCGTCGCGGCCTCAATCGGCAGAGCCTGAAAAAGAGACGCGTACGTCTCGTAGTCGTGGAATCCGCCGGTCCCTTTGTGCGGCCACCAGGCTGCGTGGGTCAGGCTTGCTGCTCCCTGCTCGTTCCAGTTTCAAGTCTCGCGTGTTATAGTCATACTTTTAAGTCGGGCCTGCCCTCCTACAGAGGGATTTTGGATGAAACATAAAAAATAGTTAACACAAATACTCCAACATGGTCAACACATATTCAACAAATCGTCACCATGTTTTTGATTATTTTTGAATATACCTCCTGTAGAGGGACAGGCCCGACTTAATCCGACTTTCTACTTCCTATTGTAAACTGTTGAAGTCCGCGCGAGTGAGGGGGGAGTCCAAGAACGTCCTGCTTACCGCGCCAGGAATGCGTTGCCTGAGTTCCTGCGGGGCCGTGGGCCATGTAAAGATACAGTGGATTCGCCCCCGAAACAATAATGCCTTGTAAATTCCTCAATGTTCGCACCCCCGAGTCCACGATCCCTCGTGGATCACTCCACGTTCGCGCTCCCGAGGCTGCGATCCCTCGCGAGTTGCGCCGCGCTCGCATCCCCGAGGCAACGATCTCTTGTAACAAAAACGCCATACCTGCGTCCTCGGAGCCATCATCCATTGTAACTTTCATCGTGTTCGCGTCCTCGAGGCCGTAATGTGACCGTTGTTTGTAGGTGCCTTTCTTTTGTTCGACAAAACGAGCCCAAAGCCCCTGGAGCCGAACACAGAAAGGCCCAACAGGCCAGAACCGCATCTCCACTCCATGGAGCTATAACTTCGAAAAGGTGAAACAATGACAGCGGACCGGATGGACAGCAGGAACACCAGCAAGGCAAGGAAAGGGAAGCAGGCGGCTGGGAGGAAAGAGGAATAGGCGAGAGCAGCACAGAGAGAGGCAGGGAAGCGAGCGAGAGAGGAGGCAGCAAAGCAGGGAGGAGGGAGAGCACGGAAATCAGCGCACAGCGGCAGGGGGACGGGAGACAAGAGAACTGCCGGCCACATGACACACTGACGCAGTATTAAGCGAGGATCACCTTCCCCGCAAGCGAGCACATCGGCACCCAGAGGCGGAACCGTGCAGACACACGGCGAGAAGACAGAAAAGAGAGAGACAGAGAGAGCGAAAGCTAAAGAGAGAGAGAGAGAGAGGGAAAGCTAGGCAGTATGCAAATCAAGGCAAGTACGTGGATGGTTTCTTGAAAGGGAGCGGCTCCGCTGCGATGGGCGACGGCTCCGCCCAGAAATGAACGGAGAGGGCCCCGAACGGGGGAGCCAATGTCCTCATGCACGCCGAGGCCAGACAAAAACGCCACCTGGGTAACTACATCAAAACACTTCAAGTCCAAAGAAACATAAGAAATTCATGCACACAACGCAGAGCATCACGCCCAAGCCTTTAGTCAGGCGGCAAGGGGAAACGAGGAAGAAGAGGGAAGACAAATACTGCGATGATGGAATCACACATGCAACCTTAACGGTTGCTCTGGATGGACCCCGCCGTCAGACGCCCTCAGAAGATGTTGTGGACGTAAACCGAGACCTCCGCTGTATCGGCCGGTCGCGCCATGCACTCCCACCTCATGGTAAGTCTGGCCAGCGGGCAGCCAATTTTGAGCAGGGACCGACCGTCTCGGCATTCCTAAAGTCCTACCACGCAATGTTCGTAGAACCCAAAAACGCTCTAAGAACAAAAACAATGTTCTTATAACATAAACCCGATGTGTTCAAACAAGACAGACTCCGCCAGAAATGTTCTAAGAACATTTCGTGGAAACCACAACAAGTTCTTAGAACATTGTTTGGTAGGGCTATAGGCGAGCCAGGACGCTTCGCCACTGCTTGACAATTGCAGTCCCCGCGAGTGGACGTGGCTGTCGACAGATCCCCTCCGCTGGAGGTGCAGGACCCCAAAAATTCGGCGCCTGCTGGGAGGTCGGCGCCGGCGTCGGGCTGCGCCGGGCTGGCATCGGTGCTGGCATAGGCGCTGGCGTTGGTGTTGGCGGTGCTGGGGTTGTTGCCGGCGTAGGCGCAGGCGTGATGCTGGCGGCGGTGCTGGCGTCGGCGGTGGCGTGCACGCCGACGTTGGTGCTGGCGTCGGTGCTGGAGTCGGTGCTGGTGTAGGCACCTGCGTCAATGCCGGCGTAGGCGCCAGCGTTGGTGCTGGCGCCGGTGATGGTGTCGGCGCTGGTGCCGGCGCTGGCGTTTTTTGTACCGGCGTAGGCGCAGGGTTTGATGCTGGCGTCGGTGCTGGAGCCGGCGCTGGCGGAGGCGCCGGCGTCGGTGCTGGTGTCGGTGCTGGCGTTGGCGCTGGTGTAGGTGCTTGCGCTGGTGCTTGCGTAGACGCTGGCGTTAGTGCTGGCGTCGGAACTGGCGTCCGTGCTGGCTATAGGCGCTGGCGCTGGTGTAGCCGTAGATGGAGGCGTGGGTGCTGGCGTCCGTGATTCCGTCGGTACTGGTGAGTTCAGCTCCAGCGTGTCAAACAACATGTAGCCAGCCATGCTGCACTCGATGGGGTTAACCGGCCAACAGCATGTAGCCGGCCAACAGCATGTATCGGCCACGCGGCCGGGACAGAGAGGTTAACGGTCGTTACCCCGGGGAGGGGGGGGGGCCCGGGAGGGAGGGTAATGGTAACGGCGGCCGCGGCGTGCACCCGCCAGGGTGCGTTCGCGCCACCGGCGCATCAATCGCCTGTGTGCACCACAGCATATAGTGGGGGGGATCCAGGCCGCCCCAATACAATCGCTAGCGTTACCCCAGGGGGGGATGCTGTGCTGGTAGCGAGCATTACCCTGGGGAGTGGAAGACAAAACAAAACACAAAAAAAAACTCATAAACCCTTCAGAAATTACACAACATGTGCGTCCCCGAGGCCACGATCACCCGCAGATTGCGCAGCACTCGCGTCCCCGAGGCCACGACCCCGTGTAAATTCGGCGATGTTCGCGCCCCCGAGGCCACGATCCGCTTGAAATTGCACCGTGCTCGCGTCCCCGAAGCACGATCCCTCATACGTTGCGCCGCACTTGCGCCCTCGAAGCCATGACCCTTCGAAAACCGTAAAACATGAGCGTCCTCGAAGCCAAAAGCCCCTGTACATTACGCGATCGTTGCGCCACCGAGGCCACGATGCAAGGTAAATTCCGCAAGCGTCGTTTCCCTGAGGCCACGGCCCCTTTTAAATTACACAATGGTCGCGCCCCCGAGGCCACTTTTAAATAATATGATATTCGCTTCCCGGAAGCCGCGATCCCTGACACATTGCGCCATGCTTGCGTCCTCGAAACCATCATCCGCCGTAGAGTCTGCCATTTGCTGCCTCGAGGCCACAAACCTTTCTGTAAATTCAGCAGTAGTTGCACCAGGGCCACCCGTCGCAACCTACGCAATACTCGCGTCTTCCAGGCCACGATCCCTACTACATTGCGCTAAAATTGCGTCCAGGAAGCCATAATCCTTCGTAAAGTGCGCAGTGGTCGCATCCTCGAGGCCATCTACGCTAGTAAACTGTACAACATTGGCATCACCGAGGCCACGACCCCGCATCAATTACAAATGTTCGCGTCCTCGAGGCCACGATCTAAGAGTGAGTTACGCATTGTTCGTGTCCCGAGGCCACGGTCGTCAGCAAGTTCGCAGTACGAGCCGTCAGAATTCGATTGATGTTTTTAGCTTTGCTGTGTAAGCCGCAACGTACGAGATCGGCCCTCGCATGAAATCCCGACATTGCTTTACGACGGCGCCCTTGCATCCCAACTTAGCTCTGGAATGCCCCATTCTAAAGGAAAGGGGGCCCGCAGCAATCGGCGAAGCCCTCACGGATAATAACGTGTGACTCTTACGTTTCGTGTACAGCTGACCGAACGAAAGGATGATTCTAACAACGTCCCTGGGAGTCATGTCGGGCAACAACTTGCGCACGTGGGCGCATACGGAATGCAGCCATTCGTGGTGTGCCCACTTGCGCTTCCAAGGGACGACCTCGCAGATGGCATCAGCCACGAGGGTGGGGTCACTGCAAGTTAGGATGTCTATTCTCGCTTCCACCTCTGGGAGCTTGCGGTAGTTGATTCGCCTGAGAGCGTCCTTTGGGTACCTCTTCCATGGCGGGATCATTGCGACATCGAACTTGCCTCTCTTGTCGACTCCCGCCGTGGGCCATCCCTGCCTGAGAGAAGGGAGCTATGTAAAAACTGCGTGGTGAAGTTTGGGGCATCAGAAGACTTCGCTTGAATGGGTCGGACTCGGGATGTCCGCAACCGTGTCCCCCTGCACGTTCAGACGTGATAGAATGCCAAGTGTTGTCTGGTAGGGTCTCTGTAATTCCTCTGTGCTCCTCCTCCCTCTGGCCACACCCACGCGCATGCCCCAACCCTCCACTCTGAGGCTTTCCGGGCGCCGCGACGCTTCAACCAAGGCCGTCACGATGGTCCAACACTGCTTCAATGGGTACATATCAGCCCTCAGAGGCGTCCGATACAAGAGAAAGTCAGGATTCTCTCAAGGAGGGTTAAACTCACTCAAGCACAAAAGGGACTCCTCAAGTGCTCGATCATGTGCAGATCCGGAACCTCTCGGCCCAAGATTGTTCCACATCGACGACTCGAAGCCAAACGCACGGCAGACCAGCCCAACAAAGGCGTCACTAGTGCCCCAAGGCAGCCCAAGAGACACCCTCATTAGCGCCCCATGACAGCCTCACGAGAGCTGACCCAAAACTGCCCAAGGGCGCCCAATGACAGCCTCAAGAAAACTAAAAAGCCCATGCCAGCTACAAGAGTGACCCAAAACTGCCCAAGAGCTGCCCACAACAACCCAACAGGATCCAAGAGACTGCCGAAACAGTCCCAAGGGACTCTCTAGACGACAAGGACGAGACCAACATGGAACCAAGACAACCCGAGAGAGCCCTAAAACGACACAAGAGGGCCCC